CCCCAAAACCCCAAAACCCCAAAACCCCAAAACCCCAATCGTGGCTATAAAAATTGGAGATTTTAGTAAATAATTATATAAATGAAAATAATCATTTTCTCATTGCTGATTATCTCAGCAATCTTTGCAGCAAGGGAGGCTGACTTGATGGCCGGCCCCCTTCCAGGATGCTCGAATGACAACTTCAACCAATATAGTGGATACCTTGATGTTACTAGCTCTAAGAAGTTCCATTATGTATTTGTCGAAAGTCAAAATGACCCTGCTAACGATCCTCTTCTGTTCTGGTTCAACGGTGGTCCAGGATGCTCAAGCATGATCGGGTTCATTTCCGAGAATGGACCCTGTGTGTTTTTGGATGATGCTGACCACACTCCTCAAGACAACCCTCACTCATGGAACAAATTTGCTAATATTGTCTATCTTGAATCCCCTGCTTCTGTTGGATTCAATCACTTTACTGGGATCCCGACCTACAACGACGAGAAGGTGTCTCATGAAAACTTGAAGGCTGTTCAGGAATGGTTCCAGGCATTCCCAGAGTACAAGGAGCACGAACTCTATCTCTCTGGTGAATCCTATGCTGGAATTTACGTGCCTTATTTAGCCCTCAGAATAGATGAGTACAACCAAGAGTCTAATGATCACATCAACCTCAAGGGATTCTTCATCGGAAATGGAGTAACAAACTGGAAGTACGACACTACTCCAGCTTTTGTTGAACTCGCTTTCGCCCACGGTTTGATCAACCTGGATCTTCAGGAGAGGATCAACAAGGCAAACTGTGACTTCACTGAAGTCGGTGGATCCACTTCTCTAAAATGCAGGTACCTGCTTTCAGAGTTCTATGAGCAGACTAAACACGTCTATCCTTATGATATCTACAGACCACCAGAGGAAATTTACACCTCTCCAAATCCTGGAAATCTCTTGAAGAGCCTATTGTTCTCCGATGATGATGAGAGTGAGTGTAGGTACGGAGGATTTGCCGGAGCTGTCAGAAACATGCCAAAGCGTTCTTCGAATGAGTTCCTCCCTGTCAAGAGGTACCTCAACAAAGAGGAAGTGAAAGCAGCCTTGAACATTCCATCTCAATACTCTTGGAGCGAGTGCAAGGGAATCGGATATACCAAATCTAAGGAAGCATCACAGTGGATCTACCCCAAACTCAAGGGAAGATACAGAATGATGCACTATAGTGGAACCACCGATGCTGTCGTACCAACTATTGGAACTGAGAGGTGGATGAATGACCTCGGATGGCCAACAGTTACTGATAGAAAGCCATGGTTCTCCGAACCACTCCTTATTGGAGGATACACTGAATCTAGAGAAGGCAACCTGGACTTCATCACCATCCATGGAACTGGCCACATGGTGCCTCAATGGAAGAGACCAGAATCTGCCATTGCCATCAGTCACTGGTTGGCAGAGGATGATCTTCCCAGAGAATAATTCTTAAAAGCCAATCAGAAAAACAATTTAGTTTCACAAGGAAGGGGTTTTGGGGTTTTGGGGTTTTGGGGTTTTGGGG